AGAAGTATGCTAGATCTTTCTTTCCATGTCTTTCTAGCAATGGAAAGATCTGGATTTTGAAGAGGAGAAGAAAAATGGATCCCTTTATTGCCCTTCCCATTCCCTAATTTATATTTGTATCAGATTAAGAGATATTGTATCCTCGACTCCTTTCCTTCTGAATTCACTCATCTAGATACATTGCAAGTTACCAATCTTACCATACCTATGATTTCTGCTTGTTTGAAGAAATCTGTTTTTGTGCAGAACAATCTTACCACACTGGTGTTGTCAGCATTCAGCACAATATTACATCAACCATTCCAAGTGTGGGTCTGCAGGTGACTGTCCAATTCACTCAAACTAAAATATAAGAAAGATAACTAAGGATAAGATGAAATGAAAATCTATTTATGTGTTCAAGCATTCAAGATTTCAAGCCATATGCAGCTATAAATATTTATGCTGAAAGCAGTACACAATTTGTCAGTAGTGTATGTGTGTTACACTGTTACTATTTGTATCATTATGCTCCAACAGTTGCATACTTGCATGTAGTTCACGGCAATGATGTAGTCAAATTTGGAACACGATTTAGTAGTTCACTTACACAGCTCATAAGAGTTTTATATGACTATACCAGTGAAAGAATTTATAGCTTTTCATACACCATTTATCGACTTTACTCTTTTTGGGTTTCATGCATTTTACAGCTATTGTTATTATTATTATGAAAATGTTGAATACGAATGAAATTATAAGTGCCTTTCTAGACTGTTAGCTTTTTCTATAAATTTCCCTTTTCAGGTTTGGAGGGCCGAATTGATATTAGCAGATTATGTATTGCACAAGATGTCTTCTTCGTCTGTGTTCAATGGTGTTGTTGCTGTTGAACTTGGTGCTGGCACAGGTAATGTTCTCTTATATGATGTGTTCATCATGATGACGTAAGAATTGGATGTGCAAGTCAAGCTTTTAGTTGTAAAAAGGATCTTGAATACTTCATCTTTTCCATAATGTTTATCTTATTTGAATTGAGAAATGAATGAAATTTATCAAAGGTTATGCATTAAAACAGAGTAAAAGTTCCGAAAGTGGGACATCCATCTTGAAACATTTTATAAGGAAAAGGAGGAACATCATAAAACTGAGGAAATAGTATAATTAAAGTTTACCTTGATGATGTTGGAGCCCTTGGGCAAGCTATAACTCTACACATTCTAACATGCTTAAAAATTCTATGAATCTGGATTTAAATGTGTTATGTGAAGCTGATGCTGGTAACCTAAAGAACCCTTATTCATTGTTTCACAGGATCCTGATTCTGTCTTTGTCAGGATTGGTTGGTATATTAATTGCACATGTTGCGAAGGCTGTATTCATAACAGGTAATTTTAATTAAATTGCTACTCAAGCTGCATTTCATGTCCTGAAAGTCTGGATCGAGATTATGCAATTTATTAATTGTTATGCAAAATCTTGTGCACTATATGTGCTACTAATGATGCACTGTATAATAACCATTCCTAGACCATGGCATTGAAATTCTCGACAACTGTGCAAGGAATGCTCACATCAACTCTGGATTGTTTGGAGGTGAATCTCCAGTCAAAGTACGAGAGCTTGATTGGCAGAAACCATGGCCACCTTTGGATTTGGATTCTGGAGTAAGGTAGAGAAAACCATATTGTTTATCCCTCTCTGGAGTGACTGGACTTTTCATTGTAGATTTAATTTCCCTTTACATTAGAGAGGGTCATCCGAATCCTCCTCATTTGTGTTAACATATATTTTTCAGTGGGAAGGGCATGCTTATTTACAGTAGTAAAATATTCCATTCAGGTATTCCTGGACATCTGCTGAGGTTGAAGAAGTTAATAGAGCATCTGTGCTGTTAGCTGCAGATGTGATATATAGTGATGAGTTAATTGATGCCTTTTTCAGTGTTCTGCAGAAGATCATGTGCCAGCATTCTAAAAAGGTATTTAAAATAAATTGCTGTGCTGTATGCTAAATTCCAAAAACTTTTTAATTATAAATTTATGGCAATTTATTTTGAATCAAGGATGATTTTTAGTAGACCACCTTTTTTTAAGTCTAAAAGGAGGTGTAAAGACCTCTTTAATGACACTCCTATCCTTTGGACTTTGGAGCATTCTTCAACTCTTAGTACTTATGTGGTTGACATGTATAAAACAAAGTAAGTGGAAAAGTGTGGAGTTGTTTGGTTGGCAAAAACATATTTAATCACTTTATAGGAAACCCCTGTTTCCCTAGGTAATGGAACTTCCAGTGGCCAGTCAAACAATATATTGCACTTTCAAGGAAATGGAACTACACAGGATCGGACAACAAACTTTCTTAAGATACTACCTCCTACTCTCCTAGACCTCCGATTTGGGACTCAACTGTTTGGCCCTTGGGTTGTGCAACAAACTTTTCATTGAAGTGCCGAAATTCTGCTTCTTAAACAATTTATGTGCCTCCTTACCTTTCAATACCTCTTGCAATTGAATCTGAGGCTGGGATTTATTACTAGTGGTGTTGATGGGCTTTGTATCAGCCTGCTTAGTAAACAGCATGTCGTTCTGGCACTTCAATTTTGCTCAACCTATGATAGGATCCAAACTATGTCGTGGATTATTGTTGTTTTGGCAGTATTAAACTATAGTAATGCTTAGCAGGAAATCGAAGATCTTTCATAATTTTCTTCAACATTTTTTACAACTTCCTATAGCCTCATTGAAAGAGAGTTTCATCTATAATGAAGTAGATATTTTGCTCCTCAGGTTCTGTATCTTGCGTTGGAGAAGCGCTACAATTTCAGCTTGCATGATCTTGATGTTGTTGCCAATGGGTACTCACATTTCCTTAGCTTTTTGAGGAACGAAAAGGGTTAGTTATAAATCACATTTCAATTATGTTATAACCTTGTTCTTAATTCTATGGTTTGACAAGCATTAGTTTTGTAATTGGATAACATGAAAGCCTCACAAATGTATCTTTTCCAGGTTTTACTGGCAAGCGTATCGATCTTTCAGAAATTCCTCAATATGTACAAGAGTATGAGAGAGGAAAAGATGTTGACCATAAATGTTAAAGAACTGAAGTTTGCTTGGTTATCTCCTACTGAACGATGCAGCCTGTACACGAAAGAGATACGTAATGAGTGTATGAGTGTTGAGTATTTACTGGTTTATTCTTTAGTTACCTTCCTATAAGCTTTTCATTTTCCTAGTGTGTTGATTATGATCCTTATGGAATTACTATTTGGAGTATATACATCTGTTTCCTTGGTCCAAAAATAGTGAAATAAGATGTATGTGTGGCTTCAAAATGAGTGCATTTTTGGCTATATGATTCAACTTTTATATAGTGGAGTGTACGTAATTTTATTACAGTAATAATTAGTGTGTATTAATGCTAGAAAATATGGGTGCCAATACTTTTCATATACAATTGCAGATGTCAGAAGAAATTGAAAACAAAACAAGCATATTTAGAAGGCCTTAATATAATACCATGTATAATCGTACAAAGGTTTTTGTTATATGTAAACCGACTAGCTACATATAATCATCAATGTATTCCTAAAAATCAATATCAATCCATTAATCCATTACCTTAAAGGGGATTAAATTTCTAATAATTATCTCTTGAAGTAATTAAGGAAAAGGGGATTAAATCTACCATTAATCCATTCCCTTAAAAAGTAGTGATGCGTTGTAAACTTGTAATCAAGTTTAATCCAACTTAATGGTTCGTAAGTAACATCATTTTAAACATTGCCAAAAATCCCTCCATGACAACTCACTCTGTCAGTTCTATTTTAGCTCTCATATCCCTTAACCAGCAAAACACAACTATGCCCATCTCCTTCAGTAATCATCCTTCACATTGCTTTTTCGCTCACCACCATTATTCTCTTATTGGAGAATTCTATGCAGCTCCAAAAGAACTTGAGCTAGAAAACTTTTTTGTGGTATTGTTGATGCTCTTAAGAGATTAGTGAAGCCTTTCAGTTTTGTGCCGGTTAAGCCTACAACTCCTGTAAGTTGACAGTCCTGCTGCTAGATTTTTTTTTGTCTTTTGTTTTTGTTAATCTCTTTTAGATTGTTTTATGATCTAGCTGTATAATAGTAGAGAGTAATATGACTTCAAGTTTCTGCTTGGACTAAATTGTGTTTATTGCTTCGTTTAGGTTCTCTTATGCGTGTAAAATTGTAAATCCTTATGTTATCTTGTTACTTCTTTCTGTATGAGTGCAAGACTACTTATTATGCAGAAGTTTTTTCTGAACTGCACTTGAAAATCCCTTTGGCTTGTCTAGACGTTTGTTTGATTTAACTGCACTTGAAAATCCCCTTGGCTTTGTCTAGACGTTAATGTACTTTGTTAAGTTATGATACTTTCCATTTTTCATTCTTTAGATCACTTTTTTTGTGATTTAAACTATTTGTACATCAGAAAATGAGATCACCAAAGGAGAACATGCGACTATTTGTATATTTCTTATGATTGAAACGAGGAAAGATCACCTCTGACTGAGGAATGAGGCTAATTTTCCTTATTAAAAACAATCCTTCTTTGTTTTTGTCATTCGCGTGTGAATTGTACTTTGAAAGTATTTGTATCCTATACTTCGTATTTGTGAGAGTTACATAATTGGCATGACATCCCACCCTTAATGCATCAGCTCTTCATTTTCAAAATAATTCTTAGGTTGGTAATAAGTTGTCTATTAACATGCTTGAAAAGGCTCAACAGAGTTCCTATGAGTATTTCTAAGTTAATTTATATGATTCATATCGCTTGTTACTTGCAAGTTTTCTTACAGGGTTTTGACATTGTTCTTATATGTATTATTATAAGCTGAAAAAAAGCGAAAAAAAATTGTTGCATATACATTCACATACATTGGTAGATGCCTAACATAGGAAATTGGCAAATTGCATAATAACCAAGGAAACTAAGTCTAAGAAGCCCCTATTTTTTTTTCATAAAAATATAAGAAGAAATAAACCATTACAGTGAAAATTAGTTTAATGTCGTTCTCAGGTTTTAAATAAATAGACCCTCGATATATCATTGTTAAACTTCCCCAAAATTCCCTCCTCTACACTTCTGTGATTCTTTCCTTTTCTGCTATCTCATTGACTTGAGCAGTTGAGCTTTACAAAACTGGCAAAAACTTTACCTATGCCCATTTAATCATCCTAGTCATTTTTCTATCTTCTCCATTTATCTCATCAAAATATTTGTATGCTGCAACTTCTGTAGAACCGTAACATAGCTAGAAGAAGCTGAGCATGAGCCAACTATTGTGCTTTCTTTTAATTTTCTCAGTTACCAAGCGTCTTAAGGTACTTTTGTCCTTTATTTTTCATTATTTGTTGTTGGATTGAGAATCTCCATGGTTTGTTAGACTCTTTTTATCAGATTAAATAGACAGAGTTGAGTCATGATCTCTCCTGTTGTCATTAAAATTTAGATCAATGTTTTCGTACAAACACATTAGAGGATCCACTGTGTCATCCTTCAATTTCAAGAAGTATTTTTAAAAAAAAAAATCTGAATGCCTTTTTTTTTTTTTTTTTTTTTCCTTTTGTTTGGTGTCTCAGGTGGTTGATTATTTGAAGGGCATTTTGAGTTAAAAGCAAAATGACACATATTTGTGAAACTTGTAAGGCTTTAGAGGAGGACAAATATTGGAATGAGATTCCACCTAGGAAGCACCGGTTTTTCAAGTTGACGATTGGTAATTTTGAGCAACAGCTGGTAAGTTAACACACCTGATAGGCCTAAAGGAATTCCTATGGTTAATACTGTAGTCATATATTAGTTCTAACACAGTTGATTTTTGATAAAATTTCTGCAGCGAATTCCTAGGAAATTTGTTGAATGCTCTAAGGCAGACCTTTCAAGCTCTTGCACTCTAAGAGGTCAAAGTGGGAATATATGGAAAGTTCAAATACAAAAAACTGAGAAAGATGTCCTGTTTGCAGATGGTTGGGGTAACTTTGTGACTGATCATGGTATTAAGTATGGTTGTTTCTTGGTCTTTAGCTATGTTGGAGACTCCTCTTTTGAGGTATCGGTTTTTGATGCTACTGGATGCGAGGTAGAAGGTTCACACTTCACAAGGAATACAAACATGTCCTTGAACACTACTTGTAGAAGCCTCTTACACGTGGAGAACGATGAATCTAAAGGTGACAGAACATTACAAGCTGATATTGATGACTCTGTAGAAGTAATTGCAGTGGAAGATGAGGAACATGATTCAGATTCTTCATCTCAAGAAAACAATTTCAGAGGTAGTAAGAGTTCAAAATGTAAAGATGCAGATAACAGGACTGAGATAGTACATGAAGAAGAAGATCTGGAATCATTATCTGATTCATCTCATAATGTGAAGCGCTTTCATAATCTTAGTCTGAATGTGAGAAATAGAGCATGCCAAGGTATAAAATCCATCACACATTTTCCAACAAGAATTTATGTATAATTGCAATCAATGCTATAATGATTAGTTCATTTGTTTGATAACTATATATATCTCTAAGTTATGCAACTGTAAGTTAATTATTTGCAGTGAGACAACCTCAAAAGTATTACAAATCAAACAGGCGGAAGGTTACAGAGCAAGAGAAGCAAGGTGCACTTAGCAAGGCCATTAGTCATATGAGTAAGAGGCGTCATATGATTGAAATTGTGATGAAGTGTACACATGTTTATCGCGGCTTTCATCTGGTATGGTATCCTTATACACCTTGTTTTTCGTAGTAATTAAGGATCTAATCTAAGAAGAGTGACATAATCATCATAACCATTTTACTACTCTCAATGTAAAAGTAGAACATCTTTTAATAATCAAATCTAAGCTACTTTGGTTTACTATGGCTGCAGACCATCCCTAAAGAATGGGCTGTAAAACACTTGCTTCAGAAGTCTGATCATGATGTTATACTCCGGGTTCCAGGAGTAGAGGAGAGCTGGACGGTGGGATGCAGATGGACACCTTCGCAATGTCAGTTCAGACCAGGGTGGTCGACTTTTGTTTTTGAGAACAATCTTGAGGAGCATGATGTTTGTGTATTTGAGCTGCTTCAGAAAGGAGATTTGAGTAACAAGAAATATTCTGTCTTTGATGTTCACATTTTCCGGGTTGTTAAAGAAGTAGTTCCCTTGACTGTGTTGAGAGGCATTAAATATAGCGTCTAATGTAATTGTAAGTTCTGACTATCTAACATGAGTTTATTTTCTAAGATAAAGTACTGAAATCTAGAGCATACAACATGTAGACTTGCAACTTATTTTCAGCTCTGATAAAATGCAGACTTCTGTAGTTTTGTTACCTTTTGCATTACTATGTATGCAATATTGCATTCTTCTCTATAATAATATTATATGATATGTATGAATTGTACAAGTTTTCTTACAGGGTATGGATTCAAGCTTATTCTAGTAGCAAATATTCTTCATTTTTCTTCCATTGATCTCGATTCGACAAAAGAATGAATCTTTACAACCAAAAGCAATGTAATTTGTTTTAATTAATCTGATAAATGAGATCTGGAAGTTAACTTAGTTGTGTTTTTCTCACAATTAGTGGGTTGTGGGAGTGACAAGAACCTTCTAGGCAAGGCTTGAAACCCTCCCTTTAAAGCCACTTTTAAAAGTACAAAACAAAAAAGGAAAAATAAAGATAAGATGAAAGCTTTAAAATGGGAGAACAAAAAGGAGTCTTTGGCTTATGTGATGATCAGATCTTCTCTGACAACATTGAGTTTTTGTAGTTTTGGGTCTCAATTTAATTATTTGATGGTACCACTTACACATGTTATTTTTCCTTCTTTAGATTTGATATTGATGCAATAGAAACAATTTGTCATAATTTTGAAATCCACTTGTTGAATGATTGGGGAGGTGGTTGTATATTGAGGTTTTATTAACTAGCTAAACTAGTTCATGAAATATTTAAGTTCACTTCGAATCATTCATGACTCACAAGCTTGGCTCAATATATTTTTATTTGTCAATCTCGTGAATAGGTCAAAATGTGTGTACATGTGTTTTTTCTTACCTATTGAACTTTTAGTTTTTACTCTATATAGTACAGCATCTAACATGCATCACCAAGGAGTAGTAAAAATGCAAACAACTATCGATGAGAAACTAGTAAAAAAAAAAAAAAAAAAAAACTAGAGAAAACTAGCTTAAATAAATCAGTTGAAAATTTATAACTCAAAATTTGAGTTATATGGAAAATTGAACTTGCATCTAAGCTCAAAACAGCTCTAGATTCAGCTCGAGTTTGAATGCAAGTGTAATAAGCAAGCAACCCAAGAGCTTAGTCTCAGCTCACTCAATTATAGCCCCTAGTTGTATTCATTTTATTTGGTTAGATTCATTATTAGTTTGATCCGGGCTTAAATGATAGAATTGAAAAGAAACCAATAGATTTGATAGAAGAGATTTTAAATGAAACATTATCTCACCTTAACATGCACTTTTTTTCTTCTGTCTCTTCAAATGTTTGCAGCTTGTAAAACATTATGCAACTATTCATTATTATTGCACAAAAGTGTAATTATGGACATCTGCATTACCAAATCCTGAATGCAAATCACTACATCATATTTCCATTTGCTTTGATGAGTTTTGGTATGATATACATTTAAAGCTTACACAAATCATTTTCACAGATTTTGCCTAAGATGTAATTGACATAACCTAAATAATCAAAGCATGATGCTATATCAAGATAGCAAAATTAGTCATTGGTTGTGCAAACAGTTACAACATAGTGCTAAACATCCCACAGCCTAGGATTGCAGCTTAATCCCCACTAGCACAACCCCTACATCCAAAGTGAACGCATTCTACGACTTTCTCCTCCCTCAGATGTTTGGGCACTAAAGTTATGGTCTCGTGGGCAACACAGACGCTCATATCCTAATATGAACATTACACTATCAGCATTACTTAAATCAATACGAGAACATGATATAGATTCAATGAAATAACAGTAATTATCAAGCAAAGACAACAGTTCACAGAGTTCCTAATATTTTTCAGCTTATAAGCACAATTGTGCCTAGTTTAGATTCAAGCTGACAACGAAAATGCTAAGCCAACTTAGAATTTACACTACATCTGTATGGAAATATAAGCAACAAATACGTAGTACTGTATCAATATGTCCAGAAAAACAGTCACACTTGTTAAAATTATAATGTCTTCCAATTGCTGATAAACCCAGTTTTAAATCGAGTAATTGGGAGGGTACGAACATAGTCCACCAATATAAAGGTCAAAAATATGTCATACAAGTATACGAGTATTTGATCACAATTAACAACAATGTAAATAATATACACAGGACAAGTGGACAATAGAGCAACACTTTGGTAATAATGAAGTGTTGATTTCAGCCAATTCTACAAGTTTTGAGCTAGGATACATACAACATTGGTTTAAGTTTAACACCATCCAAGAAACTTACGATAAATTCTACGAATTTCAGGCAAGGTAACATAAATGTAGACTTTGATAGCATCCAAGAAATTTACTAGTAAAATGAAGCAACGAATCGAGGAAACAATAAGGTTTCTATCAGCATAGCCTTGGTCCAAACAAAACTCATAGAGCTCTTTGGAAATCTCACTTCTATAATAAAGATCATAAATGTAACGACTCTTCTAATGAGCAATTTGAAAATTGGCCACAGTGTTTCACACTTTGTCTTTCCATCATGAGAATAATCCATTTGAGCTGCCAATTCAACCATAATAACCAATCAAATATCCGTTCAACGTTTTGGGTTTGTGAAAATAAACCGACGAATTTGAGAATTTTAGGAGAACAAATTTCGTAACAGATCTATAGAATACGGAGTAGTATATTGCTTATTAGGAAGCGGAGGGAGTATTATTGAAGTACGTACAAAGAAAAGCTGGACAAGTATCACAAATTCACAATAAACATGATTTGGAAAGCATTTGTTTTATACGGAATAAAACTAGACATAAATAAAATAATTGCTCTTATATTACCATAGTCTACTGTATTAATTATTATTCAATCCATAAAAAAACAAGAGCATAAATTAAAAAGAAAATACAAAAAATGGTTTCAGAACGGAAACAAACGTCACTCTCACACTTTGTTCAACCTGAGACACTCTTCTGCACTTTCTCTCTCCTCCTCTTTCTCTCTCTCTCCAGCTCTTTCCTGTTCTTCAAGAATCTTTGCTTCACAAATTCTCTCTCCTCCTCTGCTTTTTCATCCACTTTCCTTATTTTCATCCCGATTTTCTTCCTTTTTATGATTCTTTCCATTTTCTAAAACCACCCATTTCCCACTGTTTTCCATCAATTTCCCAGGAATTTCAATCAAAATTGACCCAAATTGATTCATACCCAGATAAATTCTCTGCAAATTAAGAGCAACCCAGATAATGGGGTGCTCTCAATCGAAGATCGAGAACGAAGAAGCAGTGTCACGATGCAAAGACAGGAAAGCGTTCATGAAAACAGCTGTTTCCGCGCGCAACGCTTTCGCCGCCGCGCACATCTCCTACACCATGTCCCTCAAAAACGCCGGCGCCGCCCTCAGCGACTTCGCTCAAGGTGAAGTGATGAACCCTCTTTCTCTTTCCTCTGCTCCGGTGGGTCCCACCCCAGGTGGGGTTGGCCCCTCAATCGGAGAACTCCCATCTCAGGCGCCACCGCTACCCCCGGCGGTGCGTGATTTGCCGCCTCCTCCGCCGCCGCTGCAGCGCGCGACGTCGATGCCGGAGTTTGTGGTCAAGCCGGGGCCGAAGCCGGTTCCGGAGGATACAATTGATGAAGGTGAAGAGGTTGACGCCGATTGAAGAGGAAGAAGAAGAGGAGGAACTTAATGGCCGATTAAGACATAGGAGAGGTAACAAAGGTGGGAGTGTTGGTGGTAGAATGGAGACTACTCCAAGTAGCTCTAATGTTGGTACTGCTAACAATGTGGTGCCCCCTCCGCCGTCGTTGCCGCCTCATGATGATAGAGGGAGCAGAACACCGCCACCCCCGCCGCCCGAGGTGAGTAACCAAACTTGGGATTACTTCTTCAATACGGAGGATATGCCGGGTGGGAGCTTGAGGGATGATGATGATATGAGAGGGGAGTATGATCGTACTGTGTATCATCAACACAGGGCAATGATGAGTTCAGCTGCTTCTGCTTCGGTTACTACTACGGTTCCGCCTTCGATTGAGATGGTTGAGGAGATGGTAATGCCGGTATCGGAGAAGCCGCCAATGCCGATGATGGGAGGAGGAGGTGGGGGAGGGAGGATGATGAAGAAGGGGAAGCAGGTGGTGGGGCAAGGTGGGAGTGGTGGGGGTGGAGAAGGGAGAAGGAAGAATGTGAATTTAGTTCAGATTTTTAGTGATTTGGATGATTGTTTTCTTAAAGCTTCTGAGAGTGCTCATTTGGTTTCCAAGATGCTTGAGGCTACTCGGTTGCATTACCATTCTAATTTTGCTGATAATAGGGGTATATTCATCTTATCTTGTCTTTCAATTGAATATGATCTTAATTCTTATGTCTTTGGTTTGCTTGTGTTACATTGTTTTCCTGATGAGTTGTAGATATCAAAGTGTTTGAAGTTTCATTTGTCTTGAATCGACGATAGTCATGTTGATAGTGTACTTTAGAATTAGTAAAGTGAAATTACTCAAGTGGAGTAGGGTGTATTGTTATTTGTGGAGGGTGCTTGTTAGTTGGTTATGATGATAGGAAAGGGACGGGGTAGACTTGATAGGATGGGGAAGCGATTGAGTGGATTGTGTGAAATGTGATAAGTGAGCCTGAGATTGTTTGGACCAAGTAGTCGATATTTCTAGGGTTGAATGTTCTTGGAAGAGTATGATAAAGCTGTAAATGCTATATAAATTGCTCGTGTGTGACTGTGTGAGTAAGGGAGTTCGATAATAACAAAGAGTCGTATTACTTTAGTGCAAGGCTGTTCATGCGTGAAGCTTATCTTCTGTTATTGGTGCTTTTATTTGCTATAATTCTGTGATCTTTACTATTGTTGTAAGAAAGAAAGAAATTTGCAATATGGTATAGTGGTAATTGAGCTTTTAAGGAGCCTACAAGGTAACCTCTAACTTGAAATTACATTTGCTTTTATAGGGCACATTGATCACTCAGCAAGAGTCATGCGAGTTATCACATGGAATAGATCTTTTAGAGGTCTCCCCAATGCAGAAGAATTTAAGGATGATTTTGATTCTGAAGAGAATGAAACTCATGCCACTGTGCTGGATAAGCTGCTTGCTTGGGAGAAAAAGTTATATGATGAAGTGAAGGTAATTCTCTTTTCCTTTAAAAGTTTCCTTCCTCAAAATTTCAAAGGCTTTGCCTTTACATCCTATCGTCATTTTAAAATAGTTTCTACTTGCTGCACTTGTCAATTGTGAATAGTAGTTGTTTGTGTAACAAGCTATAGTTTCGTTTGCATCATTATAATGTTTATTTTGCTTCTATATATTGGACAGGCAGGTGAAATCATGAAGTTTGACTATCAGAGGAAAGTTGCACTATTGAACAAACAAAAGAAACGGGGTACCAACCCTGAATCATTGGAGAAGACAAAAGCTGCTGTAAGCCATCTACACACAAGGTACATTGTGGATATGCAGTCTATGGATTCAACGGTCTCAGAAATAAGCCGGCTGCGAGATGAGCAGTTATACCCAAAGCTTGTGGCACTTGTTGATGGGTAAGTTTAATTATTTTATTTTTTCAATACAAGACATTTATTCTTGTCAATGTCACCACTCCTAAACATTGGAATTGTTGTTTGCTGATGAAAATATGTTTATGAATTAGCTGCTAAGTTGTTCATATTCCTCTGTATGCCAGTATATCTTAGTTTAGCAATGTTTTACTGCCAGTATAACTTCTTTTTAGAGTAGATTATTTCCTCTGCTTTTGAATATTTGATAGCTCCCTTGCGACAGTTTCTGCAAGTTATCAATGCTAAAAAAGTCTTGTATTAGCAGATTAGTGAGTTTTGTACTCAAGTTTAAATCTGTTTCTTCATCCTTCCTCCCTCTTCAATCAACACCCCACCTCGTACTGCAGAATGTATATCCTTAATTTATTTTTTATTTTTTACTCAGAATTCTTTTATCTCCCTATACAGATGTCTCTACCTCTTGCATTGACTGCCAAGTTATGATTTTTAGCTTAATTCTTTATCTCCTATGGTAAAATTTGGTCTTTGGTTTCGATTGATATGAATGCACAAAGGGAAGTCAATTCCTCCTTCAAGTCTTCAACTATTGTCATCAATAAACTGCCATAATTGATTTTTTTTTTTTAATTACGAATATGGTATTTGGGATATAGAATAGATAAGTTGCAGGAGTAAAGGACCAAGGAGATTGCTTTAGGGATTTCCTATCTTACTTTTTATAATTTGTTGTCTCTTAATAGTGAAAAGGTTTGTCTTTCCAATTCAACCTTTTTTTCTTTTTTTCTTTTTTTGGACAATAAGATTATGGGAGCAAATATGTTTATTCTATTTCATATTCAGTTTCGCAATAAATTTTCCCTTCCTTCCCAATTTAAAGCCATGATGTTGAGGTTTATTTCCATTGTTGTTCTTTATCTTCCTTGAATGGGGAATCAGTAATCAACTGATACTGTCATTTGGTGCTTGTTATCGGGGGAGAGAATCAGAGGGAGTTGCCTTCTTCAAATGGTGGATTGATGGAGGCAGCAGCTAAGGTGAGGTGTGGTTATAGGTGGTTGGGTAGGTGGTTTTGGCTGAGGTAATGAAGGCGTTGAGAGGGCTTTAATGATTCTGTAAAATAGAAGTAATAGTAGAGCATTATTTTAATAAATAAATAACATGTAAGAGTGGTGATTTATTTTTATTTTTTATTTTTTATTTTTTATTTTTTTTTTTTTTTGGGTGAAGAGAGTGGTATTGTGATATGATTGTATGTTTGTGTTTTGAGAAAAGCCTACTCAATCACATGTACTAGTATCAAATTGTTACTTTTTCTAGGTATGAAGCTGTTGGAACATAGAAGTAAAAATATATGAGTTACCTTATCTAATAAACCAATATGAAACTAAGAATTAATACAAAATATATCACTTGGCCTCTTACTTAAGGTAGCACTACAAGTAAGACGTAGAAACTTCCTAGCAATATTTTATAGGTTAGGAATCATATATCCATATGAGATTAATGAGAATCACAAGTACTCTGCTAAAACAGACGAACATTTTAAAACCATATAAGTACTTTTGAAGATGCCAAACCTATCTTTTGTCCAACGACCACAGTTATGCAGAACTGTGAAGAGATGCATGGCATATCAAGATGCATCTAATTCTTCCCCGGTCTTTCTTGGTTTTCAAATTTAGTACAATGCTTGCAATTTAAACAGATAAACTCTTGATAACATCTAAATATATTTGGAATTTCCATCATCACTTGGAAGCTATCAGCCTATCATAATTGGTTGTGATAAATGGACTCCCTAAATTATCAAACCAATTAAACCATTGTCCCTTAAAATCTGCCGGTTTACTGCACTCATGGTTCATTAGCTTCTTTCTTTGAAATCCTTTCAACCTTTGATCATATGTTCCAGATTAGGAGTGAAGAATGTGTCCGAACTCCAAAGGTTCCTTTTATCTTGAATTTTAGCATGGGTTGACTGACTACTTTAAATTTACTACATCAAAATCTTACTTCAGCACCTCTGCATCACAATATTTATCAAATAAAGCCATTCTCGAAAACATTTCACTTTCTTCTATTGCCATCTGCTTTTTCAACATTAAAGATTTTACTCTTTCCATCACATGTGTGGACATGGAATCACTGGCTGAATTTCATCACATTTCTTGATCATCCAATTGTCACCTTTAATTATATTTTGACAAGTAACAGTGTTGCTCTTATTGGGATCTTGCCTTCTGTATTTTGAGTTGGGTCTTCAGGGTTTGATGATTACGTGGAGCGGTGACAGTAATTACTAAACCATAAATGTTGTTAGTATCTGTAAATTAAATAAAAATGAGCCTCTACACTATTGTCTTTAAAAAGTTGATCATTCCATCTGAACACTCTGACTTGCTTTACAATATTGTCAAAGTTAATGATCTATAATGCTCATTAAGTCTGAGCTTGCAATAAGCTGTCTCTTCTTTAGGATTTCAAATCTGAGGAGACTGGAGTTCACCTTATACATTTTACTGACTAGTATTTCGTTTCTTAAGCTGTTTATTATTGTTTGGAGTTCACCTTATTATGGAAAAATCTACAGAGATATAAAATTTGAGAAAAGAAACTCCGTAGAAATTGTTATTTTCACTTGTTTGGTTACACATAGAAAATATTGGAAGGTTTTGAAATTTTCTATCATTTGGTTTGTAAAAGAGGAACAACTGCAAACAGCAAACATATAAGAAGTTTTCTTGACAAATTTTTGTCTCTACGGGTCTACTTAACTGTTGCTCATGGCGAATACATTATTAGAACGGTCTAGGGAATTTTTTAGTTTTAAATAACAAAAAGAAAGCTTTAGGACTTTGATAAGTTTTGTAAGAGGATCACCTCAAATATATCTGAACAGAATCTTGAAATTTTCTCTCTTGTCGTATACAATTATAGATTGCTTTCAACATTCATGCATCCTCAGTATTTTTGCATAGATCTACTGTTTTTTTCTCATTTCATTTTTTTGCCTTGGTGTCTCTTAGGATGGCCACAATGTGGGAAGCTATGCAAGTGCACCATCAGAATCAGGTAAAGATAGCTTCAAACTTAAGATTGATTGACATCTCCCAGTCCACCAAGGAAACAACCGACCAACACTACAAGCAAACCTGTCAGCTTTGGGTTATAGTTCAGGACTGGCACACAAGTTTTGAAAAAATGGTGAACCATCAAAAAGAGTATATCAAAGCCCTTAACAGCTGGTTGAAACTTAATCTTATTCCTATTGAAAGCAGCTTGAAAGAGAAGGTTTCATCTCCCCCAAGACCTCAGAATCCTCCCATTCAAGTCCTCCTCCTTGCCTGGCATGATCACCTTGATAAACTCCCCGACGAACATGCAAAGAGTGCAATACATAACTTTGCTGCTCTTTTGGATACTATAGTCCAACAGCAGGAAGAAGAAATGAGATCAAGGGCAAAGGTGGAAGAATCAAGAAGGGATCTGGAAAAAAAACAGCGCCACTATAATAAATGGCTTAGCGAGTATATGCAGAAAAAGATTCCTAACGATGATGCTGACCCTGCTTCTGTCGGAGATGAATTTGTCCACAAGGATGAACTTATGGTGGAGAAGGAATTTGTGGTTGAGAATGCTAAGAAGAAACTTGAAGAGGATACTGAGATTTACGAACGGCTATGTACTCAGGTAAGGGAGAAGTCACTGGCAAGCCTTAAGACTAGATTGCCAGAGTTGTTCCGAACACTATCAGAATTTGCGCTTTCTGCTTCAGATATGTACAGTAATCTGAAGAGTCTCACTCACTCTCACTCTTCTCAGAGTCGTAAACAAAAGGAAACCACGAATGCATAGAACTGGTATTTAATTGGCCGAACTTGGAGCTAGTGTTTATATATTTTGTCAAAAAAATTATTTGTTCTTTTCGGAGGAAGGAGAGGGGTGAAAAAAATGCCCTATTAAAATATACAAGTGTGAAGATTTGTAGATTTGTAGTTGCATTAGCCAGATTGTAATTGTGAAGATACAGAGGTTGAATTAACGAAGTTACTGTGATTATTATCCTCTGAAAGCATTTGCTGAAGTAAACTTGATAGAGGCATTCATCGAGACATCGATCTTGCACGAGTTATTGGCTTCTTAGATCATTTTAATTGACTGCTATCTTCTGATATCAATATTAATATGTACATTGTCTAGATTCTTTCTCATAAACTCTGAACCAGAAAACAATATACTCCAAGAAATTTGACATCTCGGAGCCACAACAGTAAGTATCATAGAGATTAAAAAAAAAAAAGGTCCCCAGAATTGTATTCTACACTTGATTCAGAAAGAAGAGTTTAGGTAGCCCTGCCGCCCTGGGCTACAGGAAAGTGCTCCTCTTTTTCGTTGTTCCGTCCAGAGATGTTCCGCCAGTGGTGGCCGGAATTGCCATGGACAACGGTTTCTTATTTCGGGTATGGTGGCTGTGTGTTGGGTTTTTGTTTTAAAAGTGAGCTGTTCAGTTTATTTAGGTGATTTAAATGATTTTGCAAGGCATGGCCATATAAGTGTGAACCAGCCTCATAATATGATTTTGCAATTATTGTTAGTGTTGGATATGTGTTAATCCGTGTCTCTGTATGTTTTTCAAGTATTGTGTTATGAATACATGTCTGGTACAAGTACTGAATTGAAGTACATATTAACATATATGTTTGTCTTACCTAAAAAAAATTAAATAAAATACTATTTAAGTGTGTGGAATAACATTGTCGCCGATATGGATTAGGTAATTAATCGAGTTGGGTTTTTGCATTTGGATCATGTCCAAACCAGCCCATTACCTATATTGGCATCTATCGCCATCCACATGGAGACCTGCTTCTGGCCACGTGGACATCCACCGCCCACTTGACAAGACATTCATGTGGACCGAAACATAACATTTGCTAAGGGATTTATATAAATATCCCAACATATCTTACTTCTAAAGTCAATATTTTTAACCTAAATGTTTTTAAACTACATTCTTATTCATATCATACCCGTATTGCAGGGGCGGAGCCAATTAAGGGACATGTGGGGACACTTGTCCCCCCATTTTCAAAAAAAAAAAAAGAAAAAATATTAAAAAAAAAAACTGAAAGAAACACGCTGAGACAGAAAGAAGAAGAAAAGAAATTGCAAAATTAAACCCCAACTTTCTCAATTCTCAATTTCTCTCTCTTCGAAGTTCGAAAGTTGGAGACTTGGAGTTCTCAGTCAGTCAGGCTTGTCAGCGGCACTTCGTCCGTTTGTCGGTTCGTTCGCGTCTTCTCCCATCCAGTGGCGGTGTCGGGTGTCTTGCTGTCTTCAGTCTTCCGCCCTTAATTGTCTCCGCCCCTGCTCCCGTCGCCGGTTTTGTTCACCCAAATCACCAGTTCGCGATTTGGAGTTCGACAGACGACAGTTCGTGTCGCCGGTGTGCGGTGTCGGTGTCGGGTGTCTTGCTGTCTTCGGTCTTCCGGTCTTTGCTAAACCCAATTCACCCAAATCAATGGAGGTATGTAAATCTGAATTTCAAGTTATTACTTGTTTAATTGATGAAATTGTTGTATATATCAACTTATTACTTGTTAATCTTGTTTAATTTCGATTGAGAATTATTGTGGATTTGACGATTTGTCGTTTGTGGGTATTGAAGACGAATTTCAACTTATTACTTGTTTAATTGATGAAAGTGTTGTATATATCAACTTATTACTTGTTTAATTTCGATTGAGAATTATTGTGGATTTGTCATTTGTTGATTTGTGGGTATTGAAGTTTTGAACTTATTGAAAATTAAAATGTTTAGTCTTTGAATTATTGGTATTGAAAATTTGTTTTATAGTTTATTATTTTTTTCCCCTGTTTTTGTGAATTTAAATTATTGAAATGTATAGTTGAATTAGAAATTTAGAAATTAGAATCTTAGGTTTTGTTATTATGTAATGATGTGGTTGTGGAAATTGATATATAATTTTCAATTGAATTAGGTAATGTCAAAAGATTCACCAAATTCAAACAAATCCAAGGCAACTAAACAACCCGATCTTCGACAATTCTTGTTTAAAGGTAGAATGCCTTCCGCTGTAGGCTATAAACCTACCCTTAGTACCGAAATGGGTACGTTACAGGAAAGAATTACTTCTACAAAAGAAGGTTCCATAACTTCGATTCAAGCAGTTTATGTACCTGCGGACGATTTGACCGAAACTCAATGAAAATGAGTCTAATAACTCACCTTAATTAAGCTCCCCTCAAAGTCAAGAAAATGGTATCGAAATGGCTGGTTCAAGTAATAGTAATGTACCATTAGAGGAAGATTCAGTGTACGATTTTGTCCCCCCAAGTTGAAAATCCTGGCTCCGCCACTGCCGTATTGATCATCAAGTGTGATTATTCTTGGACAAATCCCAAAAACATCTAATTTACGTTGACTGTGCAGGTTCGTTTAGACAATAAATCATCATCGGTCTAGATTCAATTTACCGAAGCTCCCCCGAAACAATAATTATGTTAAGCTAAGTAACATCAAGTATATCCATACGTGTTTCCTAGTATGGAATACATCAAGAATAATAATACTCCGTAAAGTTTAGCTTCCTATTGACTCTTTTAGTAAGCAGTGTGTCCTACTACTGCACAACAACGAATAAACCAACCCTAGAAAAAAGTGATAACAATGCAACCTTATAAGATATAGACAAATTTATCCACTTTCCTCCCCTCTTTCCCTCTATCTGTCTTCTCCTTCGCTCTTTTTTCTCTTCCTAGAACCACCCATCCATGGATTCAAGGAAAATTCTCGACCCAAACCCGCTTATTCCGACACTCGAACCCCGACGACGTCCCCCAAACTACGTCGTTTTACACCTACCCTTCAACCTCCCTACTTGTGACCCCCCTCTTAGGAAAAAAATCTACAAGACTACTCTCCTCCTACTAATCATTGCCACATCTACCTTTGTACTATGGCCGTCGGATCCCGACGTAAAGATCGTACGAATGAGGACGCACCACGTAAGGATCCACACGCGCCCGCGTATATCCGTCGATGTGTCGTTGGATGCTACGGTTAAGGTGAAGAACAAGGCGGTGTACTCCATGGACTACTCTAAACTCGACGTGGCGATCGGGTATAGGGGGAAGGAGCTAGGTCACGTGATGTCCGGTGGAGGTCACGTGAGGGCTAAAGGGTCGTCTTACGTGGACACAAAAGTGGAGTTTACTAGGGTTGAAGTTGTTAGGGAGTTGATTTACTTGGTGGAGGATTTGGCTAAAGGGTTTATTCAGTTTGATACTGTTACTCAAGTTGATGGTTTCTTCGGTTTTGCCTTCTTTCGAGTTCCTCTTAAGGTTAGCCCTTATCTCGCGTTGATAGTGTAATTTGAACTAGTAACGCGTCAATTAAAACTCATCTATGTGTGTTGAGATCAGATTCAAACAAATTAAATTTAATGTTACCCTTCATTGCTTTTTTTTTTTTTTTTTGTGTACATTGTGCCAATGTACCATGTAAGATCTATAAATTAATTAATTATGAATTATACTAATGTAATTATGTAGATCAATAATTTTGATACATTATAAAATAGGGGTATTTTGATGTATTCAGTTATTGATATTTGGCTAATGAGATTCTTTGTAATTGGATGCATTATAAATTTTTTTTGTAGAAAAAAAAAAAAAAAAAAAAAAAAAAAAACTTAATTAGTACTCATTATGTATAGATCATGCAATATCTTTGATAAATAATTTTGTCTCAATTTTTTCTTCCATCTCTCTTTTCTAGTGGATACTTTCGATTTTGTCACTGATCTGAATTATTTCTCTTAGATTTTTATTTATGTTTAATTTTCAATTGAGGAAGACTATGTTATTCATGAACATCCGATCTACTTTACATGCTTAAAATTTTTGTTCAACCTTATTTATTAAGATAAGATGAGAGTGAGGGATAACTCAAGTGGTTCAAGCTTTCCTTCCGGTTTCAGAAAATCCTGAGATCGATTCTCACCCATCTCTTATGGCTCTCTAAACACTAAAAAAAAAATAGTATTAACTTAACATAAGATTTTAAGCCGAACTTGGTCGTGAACATATTAGCTCATTTACGTACACAGCTACGACTGTACTTGCATATATATTGCAATTATACGTTGATAGAACTTGGCTTCTTTAGAATGTACTCCCTTGCTCGGAGTACAATTTTGTTTTTGTGATCTTTATATCTTTCAAGTTTCAATAAACTAATTTTGAGAATATTTATGCGGGCTTTAATTTATTCTTTTTTGACAGGGAAAGATATCATGTGAAATTGTTGTGAGCTTGAAGCAGCAGACACTCACAAGTCAAAATTGTTACCCTGAGGTGAGCTCATAATAGTAATAATAATAATAATAATAATAATAATAATAATAATAATAATAATAATTGTCTTATTGCTTTAATTAAGCTGTATAATTACTAATAATTAAGCTTGTTTTGTTGTTCTACTACCCCCGTTATATATTATGCGTAATTTTTGGGTCAGAAGTAGTAATTTGATTGAAGGTAGCTAGCTAATAATGACTTAAACAAACAGAATAACAAATGATAAAATTAAAGGTCTACTATGATGCACTTTTACATGTTTATCCTCGTTAATATTTACAAATTTTTATTTTTCCATTTAGAAATAATGTGTGTTCATTTTTACCCTAAAAAAATATATTTGTTTACGGAGTACATATATTTCCTCGTTAATGTAACCCAACAACTGAAAAAGCTTCACAAACAAGACTAGGTATGGCGAGCATATCGCGCGTGTTAGCCACCCTAGACGTTTAAAAAGGTAATTCAACTAAAATTTAAATCCAACTAAATGCAAGCTCGAAATTGAAATGGATCTTGCGGTTAAACAAACCCTAGTAAAACCCTCACCTTTAGGTATTACGAAGTACTCCGTATATTCATACATACTTTTCTAAGATCATAGCTAATGAAGCACCTAATATATATGTGGATATCATACCTTGTAATTACTCTAGTTTAATTCTTATTTTTTCCTCAGATGCATTAGGAATTCCCCTCATGAAGAGGGTTTCCTAATGTTTTTCCGTTTTCTTACCTTGAAAAAAAAAAGAAGCACCTAATATATACTTGTATGTGTTCACTTGGCTCACTTTTGCAGTTAGGGGAAAAGCGCGATGCCTAGTTTGGAAGGCAAGATAAGGGCAACTCGATCGATAATATCTTGTTTACGAAGTATATTCATACATGCATACTCGATCGATGATATTACTACCTACCAAGTTTAAATTTGGGTGCCAAGTTCTAGCTCTAAACAGATCGAACTTTATACACATTTAGGTCATTAGGTCTTGTGCATAAAGGTAAGGCGTGTGATTATTACTTATTTTGCTATTTAATTATGTACAATTAGATGTATATGTTAAACAAAGCTTCTCCATGTATTGGGAGATTAATGGACGTGATCATATGAAGATTAATTCTATGGAGGGATCGATCTTTTATAATATGATCCTAGTTGTTGTGTAATCTACATCTAGTAATACGTATCAACGTATGTGGTTGTTTTAATTTGTACTAATTTAAAGACTAGTAAGTATGTTAGCTTGAAAGTCATTTTGCAACATACTATTTAATTGACATTCTAGCTAGCTTTGAACGAGCCACGATGATTCAAGTGGTTGCACAGTATGTCACGTTGTATCACATGGAAATGTCAAAGGTTACACATTTCTACACACATTGATTAGCTAGCTTTGAACGAGCCACGATGATTCAAGTGGTTGCACAGCATGTCACATTGTATCACATGGACGTGTCAAAGGTTACACATTTGTACACACATTAGCTAGCTTTGAACGAGCCACGATGATTCAAGTGGTTGCACAGCATGTCACGTTGTATCACATGGACGTGTCAAAGGTTACACATTTGTACACACATTAGCTAGCATTGAACGAGGCACGATGATTCAAGTGGTTGCACAACATGTCACGTTGTATCACATGGACATGTCAAATGTTACACATTTGTACACACATTGTAGGTACTAAATTTTGCTTGATTTTAAACTCAGCACTTTATCAATTTAAAATTTTGAAGCAAATTCTTAATTCTTAGAT